GTGGGAACAGCACATTTCCACATCCATATTTAAGATGGATGTTTGATGTCAAAGGTGCTTATCTAAAACTACGTCGCCTAACACATGAAATGAAATAAAATATCACCATTTTTTAATACAATAATTAGAAAGAAAAGCACAATTAAGCCTATAATCAGGGTAAGAGGCACAAATGGAAAGGCTAATCAGCTGAAAGCACATAAATGAAAATATAAGAATCGGACGCCAAATCATATTGATAAAATAAAAGAAGGAGAATTTGTCTATTCTTCCTTTTTTCCTTTTGATTGAAAGATGTCATGTGCCTTTTATTAAAAAAAAAAAGGTGATTAAGGATGAGCTAATTGCAAGATGTCATGTGCCTTTTATTTAAAAAAATAGGTGATTGTGGATGAGCAAAATACAAAACCAAGCAGCAATCAAGAAAGAGTAGGGAATCTATGAACAACTGGATGGCTAGAGCTAATGAATCTGCTCCTTGGCCTCTCGATGCACGTGTAAAGGACACCTGATGCAAATATCCTTAATATGAGACCCATGATATCGTAAATTCAACGTTGTGATTTTCATTCCCATCACTAATATCTTCAAAAAAGCTAAGTTCTCATCTACTTGAAAAACGGGTATGAACTTATCTTTCCCACTAAATTATCCAAAAAAAAGAGAAAATTTATGTAAATATCTGTTTTAGGTTTCGCTATTACCAAAATACTGAATATTTTTCTTTATTACTTATATATCCATTTTTTAGAGTTCATAACTTTTTTAAAAAGGGCAATACTACTCATTTTCGGTTTTTCAAAAACCAAATCACACCAATTTTGGATTTTTGAAAATTTGGAAAAGGGCAAAGGGAAAAGCAAGAGAGACTGAGCTTAGACTGGATCCTCCTGGTGATCACCAAGCCGTAAATTATTGATCTCTGGTCTTCAAATATTGCAGTTTTTAGTGGACCAAGTTTAGTTTTCCTGGTGATCCTCCTAGTCTTCCATTTTCAAATGAGAGAAACCAAATTATTTTTGGCCAAGAAACACGGCTACTTTCTCGAAAACCAGCTTTCTATCTGTACAAAAATCTCGCCACTAAAAAGTCAAAACTTTTTTTTCATCAAAACAGGCCTCAAGCCCAAAAATGGAAATAGAGAAGAGAGATGAGAGAGAAACTGCTCCATGCTCATCCACTGCTTCATCCAATATCAAGAAACCAAGTATGGGGAGCTCTGAATAGATGTAAAAGTTTTTGATTCTTGAAAAACATAAATTTTAAAATTTTGGATTTTTCAAAAACCCAAATTGGCTTGATTTCAATTTTTGAAAAAGCTGAAAATGGAGGGTTTCATCTTTTTTAAAAAAAGTTGTTATGAAATCCAAAAAACAGACATATGACTAATAACGATAAGTATTTGATATTTTGATAATAACAAAAATTAAATTAAATATTTATGTAATTTTTCCAAATAACACATATTGTAACAAGTACAAAGCAATTTTTAACAACCATAATAGCATGCTGCAACCATAACAAAATATCAGGCTATATCTCAGAGTTATGTGCCGAGGCTAAAGTATTAATAGCAGGCAAAACAATTCTAGCTCAAAACTATTCCTTTGGCTTTGTATTTAGATTTTGAGGCCATAATTGCGCTTTCAACCTCTGTTTTAGTTATTCTTTGTTGCTTCCATCTAAGAAATGCAAACCATCGACTAGAAGATAATAATGGGACATTAAGGAAATGCAACATTTTAAGCAAATAAAGCATTTAGAGCAATAAAATTGACTTTTATGGAGTAATGAAATTTATAATATATCTAAAGAACTGTAGTATAAGGCCAAACTAAGCCACCACTTGGAGGAGGTGTACCCTTCCGTGGTTGGCATTTATATAAGATACACCTCAAACTGCTGTGTATATATTTTCGCGTTTTCTCTTGTGTTTTTTTATTTATTTATTTTGGTGTGTTTTTTACAAACTCAATGTAAAGAATTATGTTCCTATTCGAGAAAAAGAATAAACTAGGGATAAATAGTCTTTATCCTAGGCTTGGAGATGACTAAGAATGGTTGTCTTTTACAAGGTTGTCACCCAATATTGGATTTCGAGAAAAATATTGGCACAAAATTGCCAACAATTCGATTTGATGTAATTTATTCACTAAGTTGTCATTTGTGAAAGAAGGAACAAAAGTAACTAGCCTGGCCTAGGTCTTTATGGGGCAAGCTCGGGCTCAGACTGGGCCAAAGGTCCCTGGCCCAAGCTTAGTCATGGCCTTTTTCAGGTCAAGTATAATGAAAATAAAAGACAAATAAGGGGGAAAAAAGTGCTGGGACGCACCATGTATAGGGTCACCAGGCCTCTAGCCATGGTGACCAAGTCCTCTGGCAACATTTTGTCGTGTAGGGTCTGCTGGGTTCGGTCAACTGGGCCAGGCCAGGCCAACAGATCCATTACCCGCACTAAGAAGGTCTTCTCAAGCCCCACTTCTCTCTTTAACCAAAAGGGTCGAATTTCTTTACCTCACCACCTCTGCCTTCTCTCTTCAACTAGAATGCAAGAAGCCGAATTCTCTCTGCAATTCGTACCCTGTCTCCCTCCCCTTCACCACTACCATCAAGGAGTCGGCAACAATTATCTTGATTGATGTTCAATACATTTCGGAACTATTGATTGGATAAATTTTTTCCCAAGTCCTTATTATCCAGAATGAAACCCCTCTAGTCCCTCATCAATAGCATCAAATTCTTCTTAATCCCCTAAATCATTTTTCTCTTTAATCTATGTCAATTTCTTACTTAATTTCCTTAGTAAAGCTTTAGGAAGCCTCTTAATATATGCAAAAACTCCAAACCTTGATTGGTTGATTTTTGGTAAAGTAAAGAGCAAGAAAAAAGATGGACATAAGAAAGCAAATAACAAGCACAATGAAAAATCGCAAACCAAGAAAAAAAGAATATAAATTTTTTTACTTATTTCTTCATAGATGTGAGTACATATATGCACAAAGATAGTTGACAATCTTTTTATTATGCATGAAAAAAAAAATGCAATATAACTCTTACAGGGAACTAGATACCACAAGCTCAATCTCTTAATTAGCCTCTCTTTGCATTTATTCTCTCTACACCTTTTGTCTCTCTACACCTTATTTAACCCTTTTTCTCTACAATAGTACCTATTTATAGAGAGAGAAAAGATCCTAAAAAGAGATTCACGTAGGGGTCATCTCTGTTTTTCTATGTAAAATATAAATGCCTCTATCACCATCCTACTTTTTAATAAGTTAAATATGGTAAGATATCGCTTACTTAAAAGTTAAGATTCCAATTCCACAAAATTGGTAAATTGTTTCATTAAACCTAGGATTCAGACTCACGTGGGGGTCTTCTATATTTTCCTATCTAAAATATAAATGCATCTATCACCATCCAACTTTTTAATTAGTCAAATATGGAAGATATTGATTATCTAAAAGTTTAGATTCAAATTCTTAATTAGTCAAATATGGAAGATATTGATTATCTAAAAGTTTAGATTCAAATTCCACAGAATTGGGAAGTGGTTCCATAAATCTTAGGATTCACTCTCTGCCTAAATTGAAGACCTAAATCAACCCCAAGAAATAGGAACCAAAAACATCCTAATGCAGGATGCTTTATTAGGATACAAGACATTCCAACAAGTATTTAGCGTGGCTTGAATTCCAAAAGAGATCCCTATCAATCGTCTTTTGCACAAAAGCTCCCACCTTGACAAACACATTAAACAAATCTAAGGTACAACTTGAACTTCTACTACATTCTTCTTGGTGTTAGTCTTCAGTAACAAAGCATCACCATAAGCTATTCTCACACTAAAATGATACCTGACATCAATAAATTTCGTTTTTGTATGATAGATCATGTTCTTCGTCCATGCCCTCTAATTATCACATTAGACGATAGTTCCATCTTGCTGTAGCCTAGATTACTTGCATGCCCTTTAAGCCAAATGACTTAAGTACTTTTGTAATACTACGTATT